GATAACTTTAGGTTACGGTGTTAGAACTGAGATACTATCGTGAGGATAACTTTAGGTTATGGTGTTAGAACTGAGATACTATCGTGAGGATAACTTTAGGTTATGGTGTTAGAACTGAGATACTATCGTGAGGATAACTTTAGGTTATGGTGTTAGAACTGAGATACTATCATGAGGATAACTTTAGGTTGTGGTGTTAGAACTGATTTATTTTAATACATATATGCAGCATTTTTTCTGTAACTTCTAAGTGAACTTTTTTTTTAATGTCCAGACAGTTTCTGTAGCAGGCCTAGTAGTAAACTTGGTGGGAATACTTGTGTTCCGTCATGCCCACAGCCATTCTCATTCTCACAGTCACGGCCATTCTCACCATAATCATGACAATGCAAACATTGAAGGTAATGTAAAATTTGTTGTCTTTCAGTTGTTTTGATCATTGATTTGGAAACAAGATGTTTTTAATAGTGGTTCAATTGCTTACTTTTTTAAAGCTGAAATTTAGGGCACTCATTTGAGTTCTGTTACCAAACAAAGCTAGTTTGTTGAGCTCTTCACAAGGCACTATATATATTTGTATTGAATAATGCCTCAAAAGTTTTCATTTCAATGTAAATTTAAAAACTACTTTGTTTTCTGCTCATTATTTCTAGTTTTTTATTCAAACCACATCTAATTCAGTACTGAATATATTGGAACTGAAGTTATAATGCTGAATTTTAACTTTTTTAAAACTTTTAATTCATAGTTTTGAAATCTTTTCTCCATGTTTATTAAAAAAAAATAGTTCAGTTTTGAAATTTACTTGTGTTAGTCTTGGGTTGTCTAAATATTACAGAGTCTCTGTTGTTGATTGTATAATATTATTAGCTGGCCATGGTTTCCTTTTCAGGTGTCTTCTTACATATTCTTGCTGATACTCTGGGCAGTGTTGGAGTCATTGTTTCATCTTTGTTAATCCAGAATTTTGGCTTCCTCATAGCTGACCCCATCTGCTCTCTTTTCATTTCTGTGCTCATTTTTCTAAGTGTTTTGCCTCTTCTGAAGCATTCGGCACTGGTTTTACTTCTGAGTACTCCCACGAAGTTGGGAAAACCCATTGTGGATGCATTAAACAGAGTAAGAACTTGTTATTTTATTTGGCATGCTTGTTTCTTTAAATAAAATCTCATTCACAGGTATTTGATTGTATAGAAATATATACCTTGCTTTAGCTAGAGACTTGTAAGCAACGTGTGATGATGACACGACCTTAAAAGGTTACAACGTTGTTTTTAATTATAGGTTTTTTCGAGCCATTAAACAAATTATATTGTGATTTCCCTCCAAAAAAAATTTTGATTCTTTGATATTAAACCTAGGATATGAAGAAAATATCACATTAATACAAGTGCTAG